GAAGGATAGAGGGCGGACAGAGGGAGGGAGGGAGGGCGGGAGGGAGGGAGGGAGGGAGGGAGTGATGGAGGGATGAAGACTCTACACTGAAACTGTCACATGCCCATTGGTCAATCAGCAGGCTCCCCATCGTTTATAGCGATGACTCGCTTGAAGAGAAAGAAGATTTTTTTTGGAGACCACAAGCAATGCAACAGTTCGTATATTACGACTAAGTGCAGAACGTCCTCCTGTTCTGGTCAAACTAGAATCAGCATACAAACCTGAGCTTTTGGAACAGAGGGGAGCACATGCTCCCCTTCTGGTGATAGCGAAGGATGATGTTGTACTTCACCCCTTTCGAAGACAGTGCCGCTGATCTCTCCCCTCCTTTGTGTCATGCTCCTTCCTAGACTTAGTAGACTACCACTAGCCTAAGTCAAGAATGACTGAACAACTGTGAAGAAAAGGTGAATCGCTAAAAAAAATTGCTGTGAAGAAAAGGCGAATCCCTAAAGAAAATCGCTGTGAAGAAAAGGTGAATCCCTAAAGAAAATTGACCTGAAACGTTCAGGTCAGCATACACTGACATAAGTTCAGTGCACAGGTTGAATTGCTGAAGGTGGAGTCAGATTTCAGTATATAAAGTGGACTACCGTCTTCACCCGAATAGAACGTCCGGTAATTATTGCCGTATCTGGGGTGAAAGTTGTGCCAAATACAACTATAATGACCCGGCGTTCTATTCGGGTGAAGACGGTAGGTTCACAACTTCACACTTAGCTCAGCCCTTAGCGCGAAAGAAGAGCCGTTTACGTTCTCGCTTTATCAGATCCGATTTACGCTACGGCGGCTAAGAAGTTCGGACATGAAGACAGACCTCCCTTGAACTCTGCCTTAACCAGTCTTCAACTGAGTTAAACCGAGCAACTCGGAGCAAGTGTTTTTTTTTTTTTTTTTTTTTAAAGCACACATCTTTTTTTTTTTTTCATTTTTTTTTTTACCCCTCTTTTGAAAAAAAAAAAACTGGGAACCGGGCCCAGCGTCCCATCATCAGAAAATTTCATGAATTTAGACAAGGAACTACTAGAATAACCCAAATAGCAATTAGTGGAAGTCCTTCGAATGCTCAGAACCCCTGGAAGCTCCCCACAAAAAACACTCTAAAGTTCTCTAATACTGTCTTCCTCCCTGCCGGGCTCTCCCAGGCCTCATGCCCCCACCCTGCTAGGTTACAGGGCAACACGACTCACCCCAGGTCCGGCCAGCGTCGTCCCGACAGCAACCCTTGGTTTTCCCTTGGAATGAGACCTTAGTAAACTACTTTCTTCCCCTGAACATAACTCCTCCCCATTATGATGAAATGCATACAGACCCTGCTCGAGCCCACATACGGTCAAAACCTCGCTTGAACTCTTGCCTTAACCAGGCTTTTTCAACTGGGTCAAGACCAATGAAGTCTGCTTAACCAGGCTTCAACTGAGTTTGACCAATGAGGTCTTTCTCTTGGACTAAACCAGGATAGACCTCAGTAAACTACTTTTTTCAAGCTTTTTGCTCCCGTGAACATAACTCCCGATTATCATGAGATGTAATATAGACCGTGCTGCAGTGCGGGTACAGTCACTACGCTCAGGAATTGAGTTTTTATTGAAGAAGGTAGGTGCAATTGTCAATTGACGAAACGTCATGAAAGCAATGTTGGGTTAAATTAAAAAATTCCAAACCTCCTTAACTCAGGTTTATATCTGACTTTACCTGTCATTACATCAAACTGCAACTATTATTGCAAACAAGTTCGACAAATACCAGGAACCACCGAAAGACGATTCTGATTCAATCTCTGGCTAAACCTAAACCAGGTTCCGATCACTAAACCAGAGGTTTGAACCACCTTCCGATCACTAAACCAGGTTCCAACTAGCTCTGTGATTCCAACTCTGGCTACACCTCAACCAGGTTTTCAAACCTCTGATTTCAACGAGAGGTCCGAGTGCCACAAAAACAAACCAGGTGTGCGACAAGTTCGAACTAAAGAGAGAGAACCGCCTAAAACATCTTCGAGTGAACCAACTTACTAAACCAGGTTTCAACTGACTCTCAGTCTCTGACTCAATCTTCGGCTAAAACCTACACCAGGTTTTCAAACCTCTGATTCAACACCGGTACATTCTCTCCTAGCTCCGACAAAACTGGGGTTCAAACTCACTGCACTCCAAAGTGCATTCCTTCAAGGACCCGTTTGACTTCCTAATTGTTGTTATTAACTTATTGCTTGAAAGACACCGCCGGATTGTAAGATTTACCAATAAAAAATATAAACTATTATAAACTTAATATAAAGGTGAAAAACTGCGATAAGGAGACAGACAGCAAGAGTGGTGGTGATAAACTAAATGTAACAGACTAGGCTCGTCTCATGCGCCTGGGCAAAAGGCTTTCGATCTCTTGAAGACGGAGTGACAATACGATCGTGAAGAACACAAGGATCCCAGACATTGCAGCTACGCCCAAGGACGTAAGCTCCAGCATTAATGGAAGTCTGCGCAACAGAACCATAAATGACAAAGAGAAAAATGAGAGCACATCAGCACATCAGCACATCAGCACATCAGCACACATACACACACACAAAAAAAAAAGACAAAAAGGGTGCCCACTGCCCAGAACATCACCGCGTATATTTTACGGTACTCAGCCCATGTGGCTGTAAGGTACAAACATTTACTACAGAAAAACAGGTCATGCGTTTGCACTTTGAATCCTGACAGAATAAGATGGGTACAACACTGTCAGTGGCTTATCCATTCAAACAAACCATAATAATAATACGTATAGATTTATAAAATTACTATAAATATCTTCAAACCGAATACATGAAAAATGGTCAAAAGAACGGTTTCGGTGTGCTCTTCACGTCTGTCATCTGCGATTTTATCGTTTGTTTCGCAAAGTGCGCTCTTTTAGTTGATAGACATGTGACAATACATATGGACAGGAGAGGAGAGGAGAGGAGAGGAGAGATGAAAGGAGACAGCACAAGTCGAGGAGAGAGGAGAGGAGAGAAGAGGAGAGGAGAGGAGAAGAGAGGAGACAGTACCAGAGGAGGAGAGATGACAGGTGACGAGACGATACTTTGTCAAACTAGGCTGTTCGTCTTAGGTCGTTCATCTTAGGCCGGAGTCTTCTACAAGACCTTGTCAGCAGGCTTGAAGATACTGCTTGTGACGACGCGGCTGGGTTGAAGAGAGAAGAGAGAAGAGAGAAGAGAGAAGAGAGAAGAGAGAAAAGAGAAAAGAGAAAAGAGAAAAGAGAAGAGAGAAGAGAAGGGAGAAGGGAAAAAAGAAAAGAGAAAAGAGAAGAGAGAAGAGAGAAGAGAAGGGAAAAGGGAGAAGAGAAAAGAGAAGAGAGAAAAGAGAAAAAAGAAACGAGAAAAGAGGAAAGAGGAGAGACGCAACGAGAAGAGAAGAGAAGCAGAGAGAAGAGGAGAGAGAAGAGAAGAGAAGAGAAGAGACGAGAAGAGAAGAGAAGAGAAGAGAAGAGAAGCGAAGAAGAGAAGAGGAGAAGAGAAGAGAGGAAAGAGAAGAGAAGAGATTAGAGACGAGAGCAGGAGAAGAGAGAAGAGAAGAGAAGAGAAGAGAAGAGAAGAGAAGAGAAGAGAAGAGGAGAAGAGAAGAGAAGAGAAGAGAAGAGAAGAGAAGAGAAGAGACAAAAAGAGAGGCGAGCGAGGTGGCGAGGCGAGAAGAGCACCTCACTAGGCGAGAAGAGCAGAGCATAGGAGAGGGGAGAAGAGCGAACAGAGCAGAGGAGAGAAGAGGAGTGGAGAAGAGCAGAGAAGAGCGGAGACGAGCGGAGAAGAGCGGAGAAGAGCGGAGACGAGCGGAGAAGGGAAGGGAAGGTAAGGGAAGAGTAGAGAAGAGAAGAGAAGATGAGGAAACGTGAGGGGATCCAAATGCGTTCAAAATTCACATTCGAGCAAAAAAGACCTCATTTGGTTTCAGTGTGCCCTTCCATTCGTCGAAAGAGGGTATCATTTAGCAAAGACAGCCCACTAAGGTCATACTTTCACTAGGACTTTTCGAACTGAATGTGGTCATTATTGCTGTCATATGCATTGAGAAACTCGGCCAGGATTTGAATTTGCTCTCTAAGTACTCTGCAACTCATCATTACTACACCTATTAAGTTATTAACCAACTACCAACCAAACCTATTTCCTTTCTTTTTCCTTTAACCATCAATGTGCAAGACCACGATTGCAAGCGACCATCCAAATCATATACCAGTCAGTAAAGTTATAAGAAAAAAAACTAAATCAATAGATATTAAATAGATATATTTTTCAGCAACTCTTCCAAGGATCCAAAATACAGCAAAAAAAAAAAGAAAAAAAAAGCAAGCAAATACGAATGGAAATACTGTACTCTAAGCCACACTCACATTTGTCGCGATATTTCTCGCTTAGCTAGGAGGAGTGTGGACAATCGCAGTGCAGAGTCATAAACAGCTCGTGTCACAAAAGCGGTTGATGCAGCCACACCGGTCAGGACGCACAGAGGTCGTACACAATCTGCCAACTTGAGACCTGCTTAAAAAAAAAAAAGAAAAAAGTTTTTGTGTGCGTGGTTCCCACAAAGTCAAAGCAGAAAGAACAACGGACAATGAAAATTTGTGAGTTTTTTTTTTTTTTTTTTTTTTTGTCAGTCTTATCATCATCACATTCCAAAACACACTGCTATTCTAGCATCCAGCCTCTACTATGATCTGGACCTAAAAACAAAAAAGAAACTTTCAAACTTCAAATTCAAATGCAGTTTTTTTTTTTTCATTTTCTTTTCCCACCTTTTTCTTTGTTTTCCTTCAAAACTGGAATTGAAAATTTAAAACTTTCACTTTTTTTTTGTTTCCTTTCTTTCAAAGTCCAGTTTGTTGAAGAGGTTGGGTGCTAGACGTATGACAGTCAGTCACCTTTGGTAGGCGCGGCCATTTAGTTATCCAGGGGCCAAGTCCCACTACCAGCTTTGAGTTTCCGCAACGACTGAATGTGGATGTGTTTGTGGGGATGTGCCGAAATTGCGTAGAGTTTCCTCAAACGCACGTAGCCACAAACACATCCAGATTCAGGCATTGAGGAAACTCAAAGCTGGTAGTGGGACTTGGCCCCAGATGATCCGTAGAGGTCCCCTATTTCTTATGGAGCTCCCTCGCAATGCTCCACACAAGGGCTAAGCAAGACCTGACCAGCTCAGCCCTGATTGAAGCATAGTCGGAGGAGCCCTGTCGTAAGGGTACTTCGAGCTCTGGGCATAGATGTTCTTCTACAAGTCCCATGGGTGGGCCCATTCCTGAATGTCCCATAGGCTATTGTTTAGTTCATTATATATACTTCATCAACGTGGCGAGCCTTGTACGTTAGAGGCATGGTGAAAGGGGAGTCAAAAGAAGAATGAGAAAAATGAGAAAAATGAATGGTTTCACTGTTCCCTTCATGTTTGTCTTTTTTTTTTTTTTTTTTTTTTTTTTTTTTTTTTTTTTTTCTGCAAATTGCGCTCTTTTTGTTCGTACTACTTCGTAGTTATGTGACAATATATACTGCAGCTGCTGCTGTTATTGTAATTGTGACCTAGAGGTTCTAGCCACCAGTAAATGCACAGCCACCATCTGCCGATATACCCCATTCGCAAATCTGATAATCTCACTAAGACCAAACTCTTTGAATCCGATAAGAAAAAAACTGTACAATAAATGATAAATCCAATAAGGTGGTTGAGGATAATGTCTGATAAATGCAATAAGGTGGTTTGGGATTACAAAACAAAAAAAGAAGAAGAAGAAGAAGAAGAAGAAGAAGAAGAGGAAGAAGAAGAAGAAGAAGAAGAGGGGTTGAACCGTTGAGGATAATGTTTAATAAACCCGATGAACTTATTTGGGAAAGTCGACAACGACCATGCAATTCCGGCAGCTCAACCACCTGCGACATCAAACTTCTTCCACTTGTATTCTTCAAAATTCAAATTGTTGTGATTTTAATTTGACATCGACATAATAGTAAGGATACGGCAGGGCCAACCCCGAAGACAACTTTACAAAAAGAAAAAAACAAGAAAAAGGCAATACGACAGGCCCGCAGGCAAGGCTTCCCAGGTCATCCTGTGCAACTTGAAACTCGTTATTTTTTCAACGGTGATATCAACATAAAGTATGAAGTTGGGACTTGCATCGTGTTAACCATTCGAAATCCTTTTTTTTTTTCTTTTTTTTTTTTAACCATTCGGAATTCTACAAAACACTTGTTTCAACTTTCAAGTTATTTCAATTTATTTGTTATTTGAAGTTATTTGCAGTCGACATCATTTTTTTATTTTTTTTCATGGTGTTGATTTGATTAGCCAAGGCTGCCAACAACTGAATTGAAGAATTGTTTACATGTCACTCATGGTCAAACTTTGACTTTGTTTCAACCAAAGTGCTTTTCCTTCGACCCTTCATGATAGTGCAGGACCTACGTGTAGTTTGGACTACATGCACTGTCCTCAATATTACGTTCGATTACCTCTACTGTATTCAAATTGCAAAGAAGGTTGTATGAGTGGTTCTGACAAGCACAGAACAGATGCTGCATCGGCCGCGGTATTTTTCCACTACTGCACGGGTTGTATGCCGCGAAGTTCGAAGTGGAAACTCGCGCTCGGGTCCTCAAGATCAGGGGTAGGGATCTGGGTAATGACTTATTGATAAGCAAATGAAAAATAGAAATGATTTACTTTTCTTATGTGTTCGTGGAAAGCGTTTTGAGACTGAACTTTTACATTTTAATCCAGTGCTGGGCCGGCAACCGGCCGGTTGAGCTACCCCTGTCCAACCGGAGCCGGACCAGACCAGGGGGGTTGAACCGGGAAACCGGTTTTGAAAAAAAAGTGCCCAAATATCTTCTTTTTTCTTTTTTTTGGGCAGATTCCGACTGCGCTCTTCAAGAGCTGTCCGAATCCGCAATAAATTTTTTAAGGTACAACATTTTTCAGGAGGCTTCCAGAAGGGGGCAGGGGGTTATCATTGACATATTCAGGCAACTACGGCTTCCTCAGGGAAGGGTCAACTAAGCAAGTTCACTTATCCGACCCCCCCGTCGCTGGAGCACTTTGTGGAGTATGTCATTTGATATTGATACCCCACGAGTATGTCATTTGATATTGATACCCCACGAGCTGAACCAGATATGATGAGAGGAGGTCCTTGCCCGAAGTTATAGCTCTTCCAGAGTATATTTCGACAGCAGAAAAGTTATGGTTCGAGCTTTCTGCTCGTGGAGGCAGAGCGTTTTCTGTTTGTTGGTTCCTACATAAGGTGAGTTGTCAGTCCGGAAGTATCTTGTCTGGCAGTCTGTCCAGATACATGTAGTGGAGCAAGGTCCATTCCAGACAGATAGAGAGAAGAATATGGGCCTTGCTGCAATACTCTCGAAATGTGCAAAACGAGAGTGAATCTTCCGCTAGAATTCAGAAAGATACACCGCCAAGATTTTTGTCTTTTGTGCATGTCGAGAGTAGTGCAGCAACGCCCTATATTTTAGGTCCATTCTTGGGATTGCACCTCGGACGGCTCTGAAATCACAATTCCAAAATCCGAACCCATAACTTTTTCCACAGATGGCAGGGACGTCGCAGAAGGATATAATCTCAGCAGAGTCTCATCAGAGGCGTAGTGTTCCCCTCGTGGCTGAGGGCGAAAGAGGATAAGATGTTGCCAATGGTAACTGGTCCATTGGACCACAAGATGACAAATTGGATTAGGGGCCTACCCGACGCACATCTTAAGAAAAATGCATGGCTGTTCTCCGCTGCTGATCTGTACAGATCAGCGGCGGATATCCTCTGCCCATTTTTCTTATAGATTAGGGGCCACTTTCTGTACTTGAAAAATCCGGGCCTACAGGACCCGGTTTCAAAGTTGCGGGGCAGGGCCCGCCCCCACGAGGCCTTGGGAACACATACGAGCCGACAAAAAAAAAAATTCAGCCCCCAGCGAAAATGCGCCGGGAGGGAACCGGCCCGGGCCACCGGCCGGTCCAACCGGAAGGACCGCGGATGGGGTAGGGGTCCCCGGTCCATCCGGGGACCAGCCCTGTTTTAATCCCTACAAGAAGGGCCAGTGCGGCTTCAGCAGCATGTGACTGTAGGTCAGTGCCTGATCGTGCCATTCTAACACACGGGGACAGGGAATCGGTTCATCAAGAAATGACATGCAAATGCATATCTATAAATAGCTATACATTAAAAAAAAGGGATGAATCACATAATTCCCACTCTTATCCAATCATGCACGCAAGAGCTCTCTCTCTCTCTCTCTCTCTCTCTCTCTCTCTCTCTCTCTCTCTCTCTCTCTCTCTCCCCCTCCCTTTTCAACCCCACACAGTCAACCACGGATACCATGATCATCACACTACAGTCCGCTCTGACAGTCTGGACCCAGATCCACGAAGTCTGACAAACAACCATTCCTCAGACATTGAAAGACAATTTCACCTGACAATTATTATTGAATTATAACAATTGCTGCAAACAGTGCAAAGGACAATACAACCCAACTTATCAATCAGGCGAACTTCCCGTGAAACCTGGACTTTGGAAATTCACCAGCTTGTTTCTGTTTTTTTTTTCTGTTAAACGACGATTAGTGATCATGTGACGGCTATCTAAAAAAAAAGATAAAACAGCCAAACATCGAACGCCATATGTTCTATGGTGGGTATATGGGGCGGTAGGGACGGTACTGTGAGAAAGGATGAGAGTAATTGGGGAGTAAGGTTTAAGTTAAGTATGAAGGTGTTGCCCGGAAATGGGGGTTTTAAGGGGTAGGGTTGGAAACCAGGGACAAAGGATATTAGAACAACATAAGGCCCGGAAAAGGTATAAATGGGGCGGATAAGGCTCAGGCAGAAGAAAGGGTAATAGGGGTTGGATAAGATGCTGCATGAGACAGTGACAGGCAAACATACGTGTTATGCGGCATGAGGAGCTGCTAGGGGAACCCCCCCCGGCCCCCCCCCCCCCCCCCCCCCCCCCCCCCCCCTCCTCCTGTCACCTGGGAGGCTGCCCTGCTGTGTGACTGGGTGCTGCTAGTAAGCTTCCCGACCAGCAGGACAATCCCCCTCCTCAAGGATTGGGGGGGAGGGATGCCCTATAGCAGGTCCCCCCTTGTAGGCGGCTAGGGCCGCAAGGGATAGGCTGAGTCTTTCACTATTCTCCCCCTTTTTCTCGGATGTACAACACATGCTTGCTGGTGATAAGCAACCGGACTGTTGCCCCCCAGAATAGAATGGGCCTGTTATTTTGAGGGGGGAAACAAAAAACAAAACAACAAATAAAGAACACCATATGTTCTGCTCCATCGAATGGCCGCGATGAAATGACTCCTGCCAAACCCTGTAAGCTCACAAACAGGGGTCTCCCACAAAATACAGAAACAGCTGGGTGGGCACGGGGCAGGTTGCAAACTGACAATTCACATGATTCACATACTCATAGTGCACACAATGGTCCGCAGGATTGACCCCAATCTGGTGGTAACCAGACTCGAGATCGATCT